TTTGTTATTTTATTCACTCAACAACGTGGGAATAGTTTTTTTTTTTTTTTTTTTTTAAAGAAACCCACGATATTCGAAATTAAGCCACAGATATAAATTTTAAAAAAACTTTCATGACTGGCTATTTATAGGTGTGTGAGAAACACTTCTGATTTGAGAGGCTGGATAAAGCCAGTGGCGTATCCAGGATAAACGGTCCAGCTGAAATAACGGCTCAGTCCCCACTCACAAGTTAACAGGCTGTGGATGATAGCACGGTAGGAAAGGGAACGCCTAATTTTAAATGTTGTCTGTCCCAGAGACCCGCCTTATGGCAGATAAGCACCTGTATTATTTTAGTTACACGCGCCCAAAAGGGAGAACGTCCAACATTTTGCCCCGTGTAACATCTGAGAACGTTAAGTAGAGCAATGTACCTGTAAACACTAATCAATGACATCCTCATACAGCTCCCATTATAGGACTCCCTGTTGTATGACGTTAAGGAGGATCGCGGTTTTGCGGATAAACTGAATTATGCCATCCCAAAATCGTTTCCATTTTCACTTTAATCGTCTAGAACAGGGGCTCTCAACCTTCCTAATGCCGCAACCCTTCAATACAAGTCCTCATGTTGTGGTCAGCCCAAACCATAAAATTATGTTCGTTGCTAGTTCATAAATATGTGTTTTCCGATGGTCTTAGGTGACTACTGTGTAAGGGTTGTTCGATTCCCCGCCCCCCCCCCATCAAGGGGTCTCGGTCTACAAGTTGAAAACTGCTGGTCTAGAATAATTATGATTTATAATCCTTATAAGCTACTAATTTTTTAAATACTTCACTAATACATTTAATTTGAATTATTTCATATTTGTTTAAAAGCCTTATGGATTTATTAATTCAAACGGAAAAGTCTAATAAGAAGGCCAAGAAAAGATTGATTACAGACTCTGGTGAGTGGCGACGTATTTAGCGTACAATGACAGCGAACATGGCGTGGCAACTGTCTCATGAAAACTTTAAAGGGGTTCTAAAACTACGGCCCGCGGCCCTTAAATACCTATAAGAAATTCTTCATTTGCGCTTTTTTTCCGTGAAAAGGGTTCATTGTATTGTTACATTCTAATTGTTACATTGCATTGTTACATTGTATTGTTGCATTGTATTGTTACATTGTATTGTTGCATTGTATTGTTACATTGTATTGTTGCATCGAAGTCGACAGATCTTATGAAATCGGCTTCAATATTTTTAGCGAACATCCCTGTCAACTTTTATTGCTTTACGTCTTTCAGGTTTACGGCCCCTGAGTAAATTGATCTAAATGTGGGTTTTGGTGTTGTGCAATTTCATAAGTAGTACGGTAGTGTAGATTTAAAGTAAACATGTAATGTGGCTCAAATAATACAAAGACTGTATTAAGTATTTATATTAAGTTTAAAATATATACTCTTCAACATAAAGTTAGAAATGATAAATTTACTTTTTTTTATGTGCTTTGGCCTAGGGCGTAGAAATGTGTAGATCCAACCTTGTGGGTAGCACGGATATTGACTGAAACATTGCCATGAGATCGAAAAAAACATTAAAGGGCAAAATGGAGATGGATTTCGTATTGAGAAAATATTGAGGAAACCAAAATCAAGTATGTCTAGACAATGTACGTCATAGAGTGCACGGGGTAAAAGAGAGAAAGAGAGAGAGAGAGAGAGAGAGAGAGAGAGAGAGAGAGAGAGAGAGAGAGAGAGAGAGAGAGAGAGAGAGAGAGAGAGAGAGAGAGAGAGAGAGAGAGAGAGAGAGAGAGAGAGAGANGGGGGAAGACTGGGTGCTGGGTGCCCGAGCGGTCTAAACTGTCTCAAACCAAACAGTCTGGAGTTCAATCCCCACCAAAGCAAACATCCCAAGCACACCGGGTGAATTGGACTCGCTAGCCTTGGACGGCAACCCGTCTAAGAGAAGGCAAACTCTGAATTTAAACCAGGAGCCAGAATGATCAACAAATTGATCGTGGGCCCCTCAAATATAAGAAAGAAATATAAGAAAAGACTATGTAATACATGGATGAGACTAGTCAATGAAGGCCTACGTCATAGGATGCATAGGGTAATAGAAAGAAAGGAAGACTACGTGACACGTGGAGGAGACATGAACGACAAGAAGAAGAATGCTTTAAAGCAGCGGCGTAGCGAGGGTGTTTGGCGCCCCGGGACAAGATGCGCGTCCAGGGACAAGATCCATTTTAAAGCCCCCCCTTTTCCCTTTTCAACTCTCAAACCCATTATTTTTACCAATAATATAATATCAATAATATAACCCCCCCCCCCCCCCCCCCCGCTACGCCTCTGCGTCCAATAATTATGTCAACATTTAATACCACCATCCCACCCCCACCACTTTGTCAACACCTATTAAACTTTCAAGTTGATTAATTGTGTCAAAATACCCCCCACCCTTTTTTTATAAACAAAGAAAATTTATATAAATATGGATTTTTTTCTAATGTTTACCATTGAATACCATATTATAAAAAAAAATCGCTGAACAGAGATCAGTGGACAAAATTGTTTAAGATCAAGGCACATCTAGGACCAAATGACGAAACGAGAACAGTCGGCTGTTGAAGGATCAGTGACGTAGGAAGAGGGGGTGGTCATCCCCCCTCCACCCCCAACCCTGGGCGGCACTTTTTTTTTGCTTGATATTTATGAGCGGCATTTTCAGACAGCTGCAACTGTTTTCGTGAAAAGGGGTTGGCTACATTTTTAGCCAGCATTGGGCGGCATCTAACCTAGCTACTCCACTGTATCTCATAAAACATCTAAATAAAAGTGCGAAATATTTATGATCTACGTTATAACCCGAATATTTCTTCTTTTTAAAAAACTTTAGGGAAGATCACTCTGAAGACAAATGAAAACCTTTAAATTTTCATACTTTTCAGTTTTCAGGTCTGTTTGACTTAGATCTAGACTTATCTGACTTATGCATTTGATTTATAGTACATATCTATAATATATATCATATTGCATATATATTTATGAAGTAATATAAATATGGTATAAGTTAAAACTAGTACTGTCTCTTTTAAGCAAGTGTTTGTAATTTTAGGCAGAATTAAATCTACCTACTAAGCGGAGTAAGCGGAAGCGCCTTCGCCTCTTCAATTTTGTAATTTACGACAATTGTTTTTTGTCTGTGCCTTGTCATTTTGTCTGTGCCTTGTCATTCTTAAGTCAAAATTAAATAAATCTTTCAAATTTGGGTAATCTACCACTTGAGCGTCGGCCAAGAAAAAATCCAGTTGTTCCTTTTGGAAGGGCTATTTAAACAACTATTCTAAACATTGGAGTCCGTTAATATTTTTGCCTCCGTATAGAGGCTATAAAGTTATATAGCACAATACTAATACATTTAAATAATGATTACTGCCAAGCTACCGATATTCCAGGAAGAAAAAGAGACTACAAAAGTGCCGATGTCCGAAATGTTTGAGACAGATCAGATACGAGATGAAGAAGAATGGTGGCTGTCCACACTACTGCTGAATTTGTCAGACCCCATATTCAGCATCTAAGATGGTGCATTAACAAAATTATTAGTATTTTTTTATCCAGATGACGCGGATGTCCACACACAGAATGTGGAAAACGTGGATGCTCAAAAAGCGTAAACTGAAAAGACAGTTTGGTACAGGCCGTGATCTTTCCCCTTAACATTTACGTGAATTCATGTACCACAACCGATTTCGTGGAACTTATATTTTTTAAAACTTCATTGTTGCCTTGGGGGAGAACTATGCATAATTCCATTTTCAAACATTAAATTGTTTAAATTTTTATATTTCAAATTTTTTAAATAGCTTTTCTATTTAAAAAAAAAAATGTTTTTGTGTATTTGTATTAGTACTATTATTATGGGAATTAATACGCACATCCAATGTCATTAAAAATAGTATATGAATAATTGTTTAAATAGACCTTCCAACCGGAACAGCTGGATTTTTTTCTTGGCCGACGCTCAAGTGGTAGATTACCCAAATTTGTATTGAAGAGTTACAGAAAATTATGAAATTATGCAGATAATGGCAAATAATTTTTTTTACTATTAACTTAAAACTAGCTGCTATACTATACTGAAGCATACTGCAGCTATACAACAA